AGAGGCTGTATCAGAAATGTTTATGCCTTCTGCTCAATTTTGCTGTGTGAGAAACTGAAAGTGCCCTGTAGATAGTCTGATTTTTTTTAAAAAAAAAAGCCAAAAAAGGGGATAGAATTTAATACTACACGCAAAAAGCTTCTTGATTAGGTCAAAATAATACAGAGAATTGAGAAGAAAGTTATACAGGAAGAAAGTAAACTGCAGTAGTATAAACTTAAATTCAAAGCTCTTAATAAGATTAAATATAATTACACTGCATTTAAAAGACAAAAGTTGTCACCATAAACATTATAGGATGCTTTTCAGCAAACACCCTGCTGCAAAGGAAAATAATGAACTAATGATACATAAAACAACATGATAAATCTCAAAACAGAGTCCAGACACAAATGAATAATTACTTTGATCAATCATAATAAAGTTCTAGAATTGGAAAACTAAAATTGAATCATAAAAATCAGAAAAGTAGTTGTATCTGGGAGAATGAACTGAAAAGGGGCATGACAAAACTTCTGGGTTGTTGAGTTTTCTACATCTTGAATTTGTTAGTGGCTACATGAATATATACATGTATCAAAACTCATCAAAACATATACTTCAAAACATTGCATTTTATTGTATGTAAATTTTATCTAGAGAAAACCATGTATGACAAAAAAATGTTCGTATCTCTTGGTCTCAAGAAAAATATGACTTTCAAATCCCACTTAGAAGTGAGAACATGCCTTATTTAGTTTTCTCTTCCTGTGTTAGTTTGCTAAGGATAATGGCCGTCAGCTCCATCCATGTTCCAGCAAAGAACATGATCTTATTCATTTTTACAGCTGCATAGTATTCCATTGTGTATATGTATCGTATTTTGTATATCCAGTTTCATCATTGATGGATATTTAGGGTGGCTGCACTATTCACTGTTGTGAATAGTGTTGCAATAAATATATGTGTGCATGTGTCTTGAAAATAGAATGATTTATATTCCTTTGGGCATATACTCAATAATGGGATTGCAGGGTGGAATAGTATTTCTGCCTTTAGGTCTTTGAGGAATCTCCACATTGTCTTTCACGATGGTTGAACTAATTTACATTCCCATCAATGGAATTATCTTTAAGAACCCTGTGGTAAGTGACAAAAGCAAGTTACAAAAGACTACATATTGCATGATTTTTTTTTTTTGTAAAAAAGCCCAGAAATGCAATCTATAAATGCTAATATATAGAATATAGATTAGTGTTTGCCTAGAGCTGGGGGTGACAGTGGGAGAGAGGAATGAGGAGTGATTGCTGGTGGGAATGGGATTTTGTTCTGAGGGGATACAGATGTAGTAAACTCAGATTGTGTTGATGATTGCACAACTGTGTGTATGAAAGTAATTGTGCACTATAAATTGATGAATTACATAGCATATGAATTTTATTTCAATAAAGCTATTATAATAAATGAATGTTAAATCTTTTGATCATTTCTATGTATGTAATATTCTTATAATATCTTTTATTAATTTGCTGTCATTCTCCTATCACATGACAGGTAGCTGTCTTTTTTATCTAAGAGATTATTCTCATCAGATATCCTTCCTTTGCACACATTTTTGTTGTAAAATACGGACATTAATATTCCATTATTTATGTATAATATTTACCATTTGTTCCAAAACATATTTTTAAACATCTCTTAGATCCCAAAGTACATTTTGCAACTTAGGAATAGAAGATAGGTTGACTTTCCCCACTTCTCATCTAAATAACTGAGTAGCAGAATAGGGATCCCCAATGATGTTCACATTTTAGTCCCCAGAACTTATCAATATATTTTGTTACATAATAAGGTGATTAAGATTGTAGATAAAAATTAGTTTTGCTAATCAGTTGATCTTAAACTGCACTGTCCATGTGGACTCAGTGTATTCTCAAGGTTTATTTAAAGTGGAAAAGTGAAGCAGAAGAAGATAGATTTGAAGATGCTACACTGCATGCTTTGGAGATGATGGAAAGGGGTCATAAGGAAGCAGGTAGATTCTAGAAGCTGGAAGAATTAAGGGAATAAGTTTTCCCCTACAGACTTCAGTAGGATTTATCCATTCCAATGCTTTGAGTTTAGCCCAATGAGCCTCATTTTGGACTTACCACCTCCAGAACCGTGAAATCTAACTTTGTACTGATTTAAGCCACTAAGTTTGTGGTAATTTGTTATAGCAGCAATAGGAAACTAACACACCAGCTTAATCATGATGAATGTTTCCACAAACCTGGGCATAATCGTTCTTTTACTTCCTGCTCTTTATTTTTCCTGCTAACTCTAGACAGTGAAAATATAAGCAGGATCTCTTTGACATTTTGAATGTTGTTTGAAATTTTAAAAAAGGTGAGATAAGGTAAGAAGAATAAAGTAAAAAAGTCAAGCATGGGGGAAATGAACTAATAGGAACAGGAAAAGAAAAAGCAAGATTAATATTAGTGGTCAAGCTAATATTAGGATTTTTTTTTAGCAATAGGATTTACAATAAAAAAGTAAATACATTAAATCCAACACCATACTTATTCCAAGCATAGTCCAGACATGAACCTCATCCCACCTCTTTCTCCATAAATCAGCACAGAATCAATTAAAAACAAAAGCAATGTTCCCAAATAGCACAATCATATATGCTCTTTTCTATTCAAATAGAGCTTTCAAGAAGAACAATTAAAATTCAATAAATAACATAAAACAGATACCTTAATATGTTACATCAAATATAGACTAATACATATAATGAAGCATATTAATTCAAAAAACAAGGTTTAGAATGATAAAATTATTACTTCTCTTTGTTGAGTTGCTTTGGATTAGGGTTACAGTCATTAATGTGAGAATTGATCAGTTTTTGTATTTAACAATAATTTTTAAAATTTAATTTAAAAAAATTGCACAGTACTAGAAATTAAAGTTCATTGATATGTATACAATTTGGTTTCGACTATAGCAGAAGACTTTGGGGAAAAGTTGTCTCCAAGGTCATTTATCATTTTGCATCTTCCTCTTTAAATAGACCTATGAGAATAGAGAAAAGAGCATTTATTGTCAAAGACCCTGTGAAACGGCAGATATCATTAGGTGAGAAAACCGGGAAGAACAAAGACTCGTTTCCACCATCCTTTCAGTTTAGGGGGTCAGGTATTTTCTGGTACTAATTATTTACAAAGCAACTCCTCCAGCATCATGGCTATCTTATTTTGGGGAGCTGCATCCAAATTAACTCAAGAAAAGATAGAAACATAAAGTGAACTCAAGCTCTGGAAAATGCTGGTGAGATTTTTTTTTCTTTTAAAACTAATACAGAATACTTGTGGGAAAGGATAATTAAATGGTTAGATTTTAAACATTTGTAATATAATTGAAAAATATTGTTCTTGAAATACAGAGAGAAGGAAATTATTAAAATGATGATAATAAGGTAATAATATGAACCTAAACATGACTGTGAGAAGGGTAGGATGGATACGAATAAGAAAATGTCAATAATTTCAAAGGAAAGTGAGTCATTATGCCCAAAATGCTCAGAAAAGGGAGGATGGCATCCTTGTGATGGATATTGGGTTAAGGAGAGAAACAGCATGATGTTACTGCATCAGTTGGATTAAAGGGAGGCCATAATTCAGAAGGTTAACAGCCTTTACTAGGATGTAAATTCTGATAAATGCAAATTTAGATTTCAATCCTCCAATTAAGATAAATTAATACCTGAATAAAACACCTTGATGAATAAAAAAAATTCTTCTAGAACCTTATGATGTGGACAGTAGGGAAAAAAATCCCCAGGCTTGTGTTTAACAGTCCAGTTTCTTCTAGATGAGAGCCAAACAACATAAATAATTGTTGCCCAAAATGGCTATGATGTGAGCCTCCTTAAGTTGAGGGCCTCTCTTAGTGGAGGACAGTAGTTTTCTTTTAACTCAGCAGGAAAACCAAAGGGGAATGAGGTTGTAAAAGCAGGCGCAGTGCTTGAGTCTGTATCTAAATCATATTATTACTATTACTCTTACAATCATTATTTTGTAATGCACAAGAGATCCCACACCTGTAATGACTACTGTGTCAACTCTAGCATAAATACCTGAAGAAACACTGTAGTTTCCCAAACGCTGGAAGTGTTAGGCACAACGTCACTACACAGGGAACTGTGCTGAGAGCACAGTTCAGTAGGAGTTGTCAGAATTCAGCTGGATGGATCTTGAGAGGATCTTCAGGTCTCTGTTAGACAACCTGTAATTGGAGGAGTTATTTACATCTATGGTTGATTTGAGAAAGAATCCTAAAAGCTTCTTTAATCACAACTATTTCACATACCCTTTTCCATCCAAACATGCCAATGACCCCATTGTAGTGCCTGAAATTTCACCATTGAACATTTATCCATTTAAATAAATGTTGCCATTTTCCTAAACCCTTTAAAATCATCATTCAGTGATGATCTCTTCCAGCAATATTTAATTCAACCAAACTGGGAGAATGAATACAGCCAGAATTAAACTAGAAAGATTAGAAAGGTGTATGAAGCAATGTTGACATTAAGGGACAGTCTTCTCTTTTTAACGCCCATTTTTTTGTTTCAGTTAATAGACAAATGCTTAAAATACAAAGCAAAGTCAGTCCTGGAAAATCCTGAAGTACTCTGAGTTTGTACATGGAGAAATTACATAAGACACCACTTCCCCTCCTTTCAAATCAATCAGGTCTTCCTTTGTTTCTAGATCTTTCTTTTATTGCTTTACCTCCTTTCTGCCTTCCTATCAGGGTTGTATTAATACTTCATGGAGTGATTTAATTTCATGGTGGAAATAACTATGCATATGACATGTAATAGTGAAGCTGAAACTCTGTCATTTTACAAAGGGGATAAGAGAATTTCCATTAAGTTAAATAATTTACCTGTGGTTACAGCACTATCATTTTAGAATCAACTTTGTGTAATTTTGCTCCTCTTTTTATTATACCACACTATGTCTCGACTATCAGCATCTGAGATCACATTGGTGGCGGTGCATACATCATGTGCAGAAAAATAGAGTTTCATGAGAAGAACTTGCAAAGCCCATGAGTGGATAAACTTGCAGAGAAATTGCAGGGTATTCATGAGTGGATGTGATAATCAGGTATGGCAATATTCAGAAGGTGAAATGTGGGCATATGTTTTCATTTATAGGTAGAAAATAAAGCAAACATTTCAAGATGTTTGCTGGTAGATAACATAAATGTAACCATATCCCAAAACACAGAAATTCTTTCAAAACTGATCATCTTACACAAAATAAAAACTAAATAAAGTTTAGAAGCAGCTAAATAAACCTTAAAAAAAGGTGAGAGAAGTGAGGCACATGGCAATATACATGTGAGATTGAGGGGACTTATTTTATCTCTGTGAATTTTGCTTTCTCAGCTGAAGTGAATAAATGTGATCTTACCCTGAGGTAAGATGATCAAAATAGATGCACTTCAATTTCTTTAAGTATGCATGCTAATCAGCATCTTCCCCATTTTCAGCTACTGGGATTATATATTGGTTCCATGTTAGAAATAAAAACTATAGTCTTTTTAATGTTTTCTTTTTTTCAGGTAGTTTAATTGCCTCCTGAGAACTTGACCCATTCATTCCACTGAAAAAATGAACAATGTAACTGAATTCATTTTCTGGGGTCTTTCTCAGAGCCCAGAGATTGAGGAAGTTTGTTTCATGCTGTTTTCTTTCTTCTACATAATCATTCTTCTGGGAAATCTCCTCATTATGCTGACAGTTTGCCTGAGCAACCTGTTTAAGTCACCTATGTATTTCTTCCTCAGCTTCTTGTCTTTTGTGGACATTTGCTACTCCTCAGTCACAGCTCCCAAGATGATTGTCGACCTGTTAGCAAAGAACAAATCTATCTCCTATGTGGGGTGCATGTTGCAGCTCTTTGGAGTACATTTCTTTGGTTGCACTGAGATCTTCATCCTCACTGTAATGGCCTATGATCGTTATGTGGCTATCTGTAAACCCCTTCATTATATGACCATCATGGACCGAGAGAGATGCAATAAAATGTTATTAGGGACATGGGTAGGTGGGTTCTTACACTCCATTATCCAAGTGGCTCTGGTAGTGCAGCTACCCTTTTGTGGACCCAATGAGATAGATCACTACTTTTGTGATGTTCACCCTGTGTTGAAACTTGCCTGCACAGACACATACATTGTTGGTGTTGTTGTGACAGCCAACAGTGGTACCATTGCTCTGGGGAGTTTTGTTATCTTGCTAATCTCCTATAGCATCATCCTGGTTTCCCTGAGAAAGCAGTCAGCAGAAGGCAGGCGCAAAGCTCTCTCCACCTGTGGCTCCCACATTGCTGTGGTCGTTATCTTTTTCGGCCCGTGTACTTTTATGTACATGCGCCCTGATACCACCTTTTCGGAGGACAAGATGGTGGCTGTATTTTACACCATTATCACTCCTATGTTAAATCCTCTGATTTACACACTGAGAAATGCAGAAGTAAAGAATGCAATGAAGAAACTGTGGAGCAGAAATGTTTTCTTGGAGGCTAAAGGGAAATAATTGGACTTAATAATTTAAACTCCATGACCTTAAAAATTCTCAGCCTTGGTGAACTCATCTGTGCAATGAAGACAATAATAACAACCTCATAGGGTTTAGAGTGGAAAAATGAGAGAATAACACATTCAAAAGAGTAAGGTATTATTTTTATTGTTATTGTATTTATTCTAATATCTCATAATTAGATAACTTCCTGAAATATCTATGGCAGAGAAATATTACTAAACATAGAATCACAAATGTGCAGAGGAGCAATTCTTCTTGGCTTTCCTTTGAGGACCTGTTTCTGTTATCTGTCTTGCTTTCACTGGTCTTGCCATCACACCTGAAAGCAGAAACTCTCCATATGTTTAAAGTGGAAGAAATAAATTTTAAAAATTTAGAATTTCCAAATGTGTGGACAGTGTTTGCATATTTTGGGGCTTAATTTATGAGCTGTCAGGCACTATAGTATCAGTCAGATATTTCCTCCTAGAAAAACAATCCTCTACCCTACTGCTTAGTCTATGTATATAGCAGTGGGGAATTGAGAAGGTTGTAATGTGTGCTGGCTGCTGACAACCTGGGAACAGTGAGAGGAAAGGGCCCCACAGTTCACAGTGTAGATTTCGCTTATCCTCATATATGCTGCTGTGCATTTAATCACCGTCCTTCACATTAATACCAGGAATTATTTAGCCCAGTCTTTTTTTTTAAATTATACTTTAAGTTCTAAGATACATGTGCAGAACCTGCAGGTTTGTTACATAGTCATACATGTGTCATGGTGGTTTGCTGCACCCATCAACCCATCATCGACATTAGGTTTTTTCCTAATGCTATCCCTCCTCTAGTCCCCCATCTCCCAACAGGCACAAGTGTGTGATGTTCCCCTCCCCATGTCCTTGTGTTCTCATTGTTCAACACCCACTTGTGAGTGAGAACATGTGGTGTTTGATTTTCTATTCTTGTGTTAGTTTGCTGAGATGATGGTTTCCAGCTTCATCCATGTCCCTGCAAAGGACACGAACTTGTCCTTTTTTGTGGCTGCATAGTATTTCATGGTGTATATGTGTCACATTTTCTTTATCCAGTCTATCAGTGAAGGGCATTTGGGCTGATTCCAAGTCTTTGCTATTGTGAACAGTGCTATTGTGAACAGTGCTGCAGTAAACATATGTGTGGATGTGTCTTTATAGTAGAATGATTTATAATCCTTTGGGTTTATACCCAGTAATAGGATTGCTGGGTCAAATGGTGTTTCTGGTTCTAGTTCCTTAAGGAATTGCCACAGTCTTCCACAATGGCTGAACTAATTTACACTCCCACCAACAGTGTAAAAGCATTCCTATTTCTCCACATCCACTCCAGCATCTGTTGTCTCCTGACTTTTTAATGATAGCCATTCTAACTGGTGTTAGATGATATCTCATTGTTTTGATTTGCATTTCTGTAATGATCAGTGATGATGGTTTTTTTTTCATATGTTTGTTGGCTGCATGAATGTCTCTTGAGAAGTGTCTGTTAATATCCTTCACCCACTTTTTGATGAGGTTGTTTGCTTTTTTCTTATAATCGTTTAAGTTCCTTGTAGATTCTGGATATAAGTCCTTTGTCAGATGGATAGATTGCAAAAATTTTTTTCCCATTCTGTAGGTTGCCTGTTCACTCTGATATTTTCTTTTGCTGTACAGAAGCTCTTAATTAGATCTCACTTGCCAATTTTGGCTTTTGTTCCTTTGCTTTTGGTGTTTTAGCCATGAAGTCTTTGCAGAGCTTCAAAAGAATAAACCTCCAATCTTTCGTGAAATAGTATAAAGGAATTCTTACCTGAATATGTAGAAAATGACCTATGGAAATAAAATAATTTTGATGTATACAATGTGTGTTTCACTCCTACATTCTGTAGAATCATATGCTACAAGCATTTAACATCTCAGGAGTTTTGCAGGTGAACTAACTTCCTAGTTTTCTCTGTCTTTGCTCAGATGGCTGTAACTTCCCCCACAATGCTAAATCAACTACCTGGTAACACTGTTCTCAATCTTTGAAAAAATGTGTGAAAATCTTTCACCAGCTTGTATTTCCTGTCTACTTTTTTTGTTATTGTGGATTAACATATAATTTCTCTTATTTTAGCAACAATTCAGATGGCAAAGGAAATATATTTTTGTAGATAGTTTACTATGTGTAACATAAATTCTATTTTTAAAGTATCTATTAGTGTTTGTCCTAATACAATGACATAAAAAGAAGAAAATCAAAAGTTACATAATATTGCCATACAGAAGTCTTATTTACATGAAAATATAAAGGAACACATGCATATTGAACTGTTTGAAAACTCAGAGTTCAATAATGTAAAAAAATGAAAGAAAAAACATAGTCACTTTACTATGTTTTCTCAGAAACATACCATTGTTAGCAGTTTCTTATGATTCATTTCATTAAAAATAATCTTATACCTATATTCACTTATAATTTCTATTTTATGTTTTGTAGTCACAGAAAGGAATAGTATAAAAATTGACACATAAATTTTTCCTTTAGAGAATGAGATACTCTGACTGTCTCTTCATAACAGGACTTACAAATGAAACCCCAGAGTCTAGTCAGATTGGACGTGGTGCTCTCACACAGCAGGTACACTGGAGACCATGCCAGAAAACAGTCCTCTCCCAGGGAAGGTCAAAGTAGCCGGCAGTGTGGGAGGGTGAGGTGAACAAAGGAACAGTGTTTGCAATTCCAGAGTCTGGGAGGTAGTGTGAGAATGTCCTTAGGATTGTGATCAGTCTTGTTTTCCAAACTAGACCTAAAGAAAAACACAACCGAGATACCTTCCTTAATGTTGCAGCAATTCCCAGAACCATAGCTGATAGAGAACATCTTCCTCTTCCACCACCCATTTTCTCACCCCTGATTTCTTTCACCCTTGGCCAGTACTTGGTTGGTTTGGGTTGTCTGCCTTGTGGTGATTGAAAACATTATCCATAAGAGTTTGATCCCTGGTTGCCCTGTTCTTATTTACTGTAATTGCTGCAATTGTGCAGTTATAGTTATCCCTGGGTGTGCAAGTTCTAAGAGAGGTTCCATTACATTCTCTGTGTTCTGAATATAATTATCTCTGTGTCCTAAACCATAAAAACAACACTAGCTACTCATCATAACCAGAATCAAGTACCCCATCCAAAATTGTGACTACTTTTTTTATTTTTATTTTTGCCTGCTGGTCTATTTGTATAAAGAACACAAAAGAGTGGTTCCTGCTATGTTACTGGAAAATATGTTTTTCTCTCTAGAAACCATGACTTCTATCCTCATGAAAATGAAGACTAAGAAAGTAGTTCTTGGGAGTATAAAAAACAGAAAACACCTATTTTCACCCCTTGGATCTCAGAATAGTATAATGCAGGCAAACGGTGACTCCACACCGTGTAGAGACCATCTGTTCAGCATTCAATTCATACACTGAATCTGGAAAACAGCATCTCTTCTCCTCCAGAGCTGACTTCTAGCTAGCCCCTTGACTGAGCTCTTAACAGGCCTTTCCCCTCTTCCGTAAAGCTGGATGCTTAACAGGTGATGGGCGATATGGGAAGATCAGTGAATTCTGAGATCACGAGAACATTTTATATCTCCTTTACCCCAAAATAGGTACCAGGTCCTAGGCAATATTTAAGGGATATTATGTCCATGTATCGATTTATCTGCAAGCTGTCAAATGTTGTTGTAGATGAAGGCACTGTGGTTATGGAAGACAAATCTACATCTACAGTGTCTATTATTTCTGATTAGGACCAATTGCTTTCACTTTAAGGGTGGAAGAGGTCTTATATAATCATCTCGCTATGAGACACATGAATATCTTCCCAGGAACTGGCATCACATTGAGTGCTCAGGCATGGAATCTGCTACTGGCATGTTGGGCACTCAGAGGTGGGAGAAGGCAAAACAGCATTTATGGCAGGGAGCTTGTGTCACTGAACCCAGGCATAACTCACATCCTTGCCAGTATAGACACTCTGTTCATGTGCTTAATGTGCTATCACTGAAATAGCTTTAGGCCAGATCATGTCAGAGTACAGCCCATCCTCATCGTCTGGATAGTGAAAGCCTGCTGTCTTGTACATGATTTCTAGTTAGTTCCAACTTCAATATGTCTACCCACATAACTTTTCCAGATCACTTGGTCCAGTCCTCTGACCTTCCAGATACTTGATCAACAAACCAGGCCTTCAGTTCTGTCTCAATTCAATGTATATTTATTATCTGGGACTCTTCCCCTTCTATACAAAGTTGAAAACAAGAATATTATTTAGGGTTTTGTCCACTGGCAGAAATTCTCTATACTACATACCTTTAAGGCCACCATTTAGGGCCGTGATGTCATTTTGGGTTAATGCCAACATACTGTGGTGACTTGTATGCGAACCTGACCTTTCCTCCTCTGTCAGATGATCACAGAGCACTTCCTGTGAGGCCATATGTATGACTTGAGGAAGAGGCATTGATTTAACATAATATGAGAGTCAGAACCATCCACTTGTTCCTGAACCACTCTTGTCTTCTGATCGCTCAGGTCTAGCTTTTACCATTTCAGGCTTGTGTGCCCTTCAGAAATTAAGACTCGTTGAGCCATCTGATATCTAGTTCATAGTGGGTAGCTCAGGTTGCAAAGTCTCCTGGCATCCCTGGTCAGTCACTCACTCTCTTTTGCACTTGTTATGTAAAAGTGAAATGATGTTACCCTTCCTATTTGTGAGGATCAAGACGTATTCATTCATCTAGTGCTAAAATTTCTGTGACCATACTAAATGTAAAGCTTTCGGATTAAGAAGCCATGATTGAGACTCCGTCATTACTGTGGTATGCATTATTCTATTCAATTTTATCACTTATAGATGGAAACCTGGCCTTCTCCAGAAGCTTTGTGAGGGTCACTAGTCTAAATTAAGCTTTTCTGTAATTTTTTTTGTGACGTAATATTTTCAAAATTTCTAGCACCTATAGCTCTCAGTGAGGGCTGAGCTTGCCCAATTACCGTAAGAAAAGCATCTGTGGCCCAGCAGCAGTGTCTCACACCTGTAATCCAAGCACTTTGGGAGGTCAAGGTGGGCAGATCACTTGAGGTCAGGAGATGGAGGCCAGCCTGACCAACATGGCGAACTATCTCTGCTAAAAATACAAAAGTTATCTGGGCATGGTGGCACATCCCTGTAGTCCCAGCTACTCCAGAGGCTGAGGCAGGAGAATCACTCAAACTTGGCAGGCAGAGGCTGCAGTGAGCCAAGATTGCACCGCTACACCCCAGTCTAGGCGGTAAAAAAAAAAAAAAAAAAAAAAAGAAAGAAAAGAAAAGAGAAAAGCATTTGTGAACTTTTATTCACTTTGCCATGTCAAGAAATTGTGACTAGCCTTGGGACATGGGAGGCATCTTCTTTTTCTCACACAATGGTGATTTCACATACCTGAAACTCATAAGGTATTTGTTGAGTTCAAAAGGTTGTTTTACTCCAAATATTATATTTGATTCTATTTATTTCATATATTAATCGTAAACCTTGAAAATATTTGATGATTTATTTTTTCCTGTTCCTTTCTTGGAGTATGTGAAAGCAGTATAGTCACTAGTCATATGGCGAGATATTATTATAAAAACAATGTTACATTAAACTCTAATGGTGCCTCTCTAAGTTTGCAAAGATGATGATAATATGTCACTTGTCTATTAGAAGACTCTAAATTAGTATCAAGTCTATCTCTTTTTGAAAGCAGCCTTCCCATATAATATTGTAAAAAATTCTGCATTTCAGAGGGAATATTTTTAGGTGTGATAAAAGATATTAGCATCCTAGATAATATTATTCCCTAAAGATCCCCTTATTTTGTGAATTGAAAACAATTACAACAATATTGTAATAAACAAGTTTGTAATTAAGGACTTTGTTCTCTAGCATAATTTCCCTATGCCATTTACCTTTGAGACCACCTTTGAATTATGCTGTGCTGGGCAGCTGTTCTTTACAGATTAACGCACATGTGTGGAGATGACTTGTCTGAAAATGCAACCAAAATCCTTTCCTCCTCCATCTGTTCATCACGGAGTACTCCCAATGAGGCCATATACATGAGCTTGGAAAGAGACATTGATTTAACAGAAGTGAGTGATATGAGAATTAGAATCATTCATTTGTTCATAAATTACTGTTGCCTTCTAACCTGCTCAGGTCAACCTCTTTCCAGTTTAGGCTGCATATCCGTCAGAACTTAAGATGTGTTGAATCCTATAATATCCAGTACATAATGTATTGTTGAGGTTGCAAAGTTTTTTGGTATTCCTGGTCAGTCACTTAGTATCTTTTGTATGCGCTATTTAAAAATGAGCTGATTTTGTCTTCTGTATTTACAAGAATACAGAAGCATGCATTCACCTGCTGCCAAAATTTGTGTGATCAATCTAAAGGCAAAGTACTCAGGAAAAGGAGATGTTATTGAGAAATTATCATTATCCACTATAATCCATTTAGTTTTAGCACAGACCAGACACGTTAATAAAAGAGACAGAAGGTGATAGCCATCTCCATTGCAGAAATATAGTTTTCATCTAAACATCTCCATTGCTCTATCCAAGTTCTTTTCTTTTGCATTATTTAGAAATGTCACTGAAATAATTCACATCTGTTATGTAATTATTTCTGTTTCAAATCCTAAAACTATTTCTCTGAGTTATCACATTCCTTATTTAATCTGGTAATATTTTCCAAGTTTCTACCATTAACTTGTTGCACGCTTTATTTCTAGCCTGCAGAAATATCTCTACCTTAATTTGAGCTGTCTATGTTGTAGTCATAATGGCCCTCTCCTATAAACAAATTACTATCATTGTTATGATTCAAGAGAAACATTGATGTTTCCCCAAATTAGAAGAGATTCCATTAAAAGTAAAAAGTAGATTTTATAAAAGGAACAATTATATGACTACAACTCCAGCAGTGAGAACCGTCCTAATATCAAGAACTCTTTCAGACAGGTGAATTTTCTCTCTCGGTTCCATTGCTCTTGTAGAAAAATTAGGTACACTTATGAAAACTTATGCTAAGATTTCAGCATATCACTCAAGGAATTGAAAGGGAGATTGCTTAAGTTATAAATACTGTCCTTTACAACATGAAACTTCTACACTTATTTAAATCTAACACTTTCTGCTGAGTCAGGTAGAACAACTAAGTTGATCATCAGACATGACAAAACCAAAGTATCTAATAAAGAAAACCATTCAGAAGAGGGAAAACCTGTTGGACTGTGAGTATATTGATGGGTAACTATTAGCAGGGAACTCCAGAAGAAGTCAACATGGAGAAGAACAGACAAACGTCAGACCAAAGCCATAAATGACATTCAGCCGTCAAGAGCCAGAAACACAGCAGTGAAGGCAATGAACGTCATGTTATCTCTTTGTACCTCATGCAGTCTCTTCCTCCACATAAAACTGACTTAACATTCATCAATGATATTTATCCATACTGTCTTTTTTCCTGAAGGAATAACATTCATGCTCCAAGACAGTGTTATATTAAATCAATAATAAAGAGACAGTATTCTTTATTGACTTCTTCCGGGCCACTCCAAACTATCATGAAGGATTTGAGATCTTCATTCATGGTTTTATATCTGAGATCAGTTTCTTGCTCCACAGCTTCCTCAAGGCACTTTTCACTTCTGTGTTCCTCAGAGTATAAATCAGAGGGTTGAGCAAAGGTGTTCCAAGTGTATAAAACACAGCTATCATCTTATCCATGGGGAAGGTGGTGGCAGGCCGTGTGTATATAAATATGCAAGGTCCAAAGAACAAGATGACCACAATGATGTGGGAAACACAGGTGGAAAGGGCTTTCTTTCTCCCTTCAGCACTGTGGTTTCTCAGAGAATGCAAGATGACGCCATAGGAGAACATCAGCATGACAAAACTCACTGTACAAATGGCCCCACTGTTGGTAACCAGGAGTAGGCTGACCACATAGGTGTCTGAACAGGCAAGTTTCAACAAGGGCTGCAAGTCACAGAAATAGTGATCGATCACATTGGGGCCACAGAAAGGCAAACTCAGGGCAAGAAAAATCTGAGCTAAAGAATGCACACAAGATCCCACCCAGGCCGCAGCCATCAACACACCACAGGCCCGGTGGTTCATGATGGTCATGTAGTGCAGGGGCTTACAGATGGCCACATAGCGGTCAACAGCCATGAGGATAAGGATGAAGATCTCCAGGCAGCCAAAGAAATGGAATGTAAAGACTTGGATCATGCACTCGCTGAAAGAGATAGTGCTCTTCTTTGAAAGGGCATCCACAATCATTCTAGGGGCTATGGAAGTAGAGAAGCAGGTGTCAGATAAGGATAAGTAGAAAAGAAAGAAGTACATTGGGCTCTGAAGTGCCCGGCTGGTCTTGATGGTAGTAATAATCAACAAGTTACCCAACAATGTCCCCAAGTAGAAGAAAAATATAATAACAAACACTATGTTCTTCCAAAAAGGATCCTGTGTCAATCCAAGCAGAATGAACTCAGTCACATTGCTATTCAGTTGCATGGCTTTTATGAATGAGGGGAAGAAGCATATGAAATTGTTTATCTGAAAAAAAAAAGGAATTAACTTATGGTATGCTACGTAATGTTATTAAGTATTTTATGCAAAATTAAGCATTTCTCATCAGAGACATTCTGTTAGTGGTTTCTTAATAAGTCACTTCAATACTTTGTTTCTCAATTTTGACGATCATTTCTTAGGATTTTTAAGAGTCTCAAATAAGTTACTTTGCTGTAGCATTCTTCACATGCAAAGCCTTGTTAGTTTTGGCATCATTCTGATTAATTTTGCCAATTCAGTGAATGTAAAACACTATGAATCTATTGTAAATTAACTTCATTTTTTCATTTTCAGTAAATATTAGTGTCTATATTTTGCATGGTTTATCACTCAGCATTTAGGATATACTAAACTGCCCTTGGAGATCCATGATATAAAGTCCCACACCACCATCATCCCATACAGAACGTCTTACTTATACATAGTTTATAATTACAGATTCATATAGATATATATTATTCATAAATACATAACAATCTCAACTTCTATGCAAAAATTTCCCCAGATATTCCAGGTTTAAAAGTGGCAAAGTAAACACCTACAGCCTCTAATTAATATGCTCCTACCTTGAAGTGTCATTATGATTGTACTGACTTGAACCCGTAAATACAAATAAATATTCTTTGATACTTGGTAATATCCTTAATTCTCCATTTCTAATTTTCTCTTTCTAATTCATTAAAGCACCTTTTGGAACTCTCAGAAGTCCTGAGTTTATATTTATATGAAAAGAAATGAGGATGGGATATTATTACTCACCAGTTTATGATTTCACAATTTAAGTTTTCAGCTTGAGCATTTTGTAACTGGGGTGGTTTGGAGGAATGTCAACAGAAAGTTGATGTAGGCCCAGATCATAGTTGTAATCTCCAGTAGAAGTCTTATCCACATATCTGAAAGCCCCATGTTCCTGGAGCAGAGCAGAGATTCAGAAGAGGGAGGAAAATGGCGAAAAAAGAGATTATAGTTAGTAGTTGACTTCTTCAATTTTTTTCCTTTACAGAAAAGTCAATGATTATTCAACTTTGAAATGTTATTTCTTTCAATGAAGATTTGTTTATTTTAATGTTACTACAATATTATCACAAGTCTTCACTTTCAAGAACCAAATCTTTACTCTAGATCTTTCTTGTTAAGATGATATTGGAAGGTACATACATAAACATCAAAATACAACTGGAAGTGTAATTTATTTTAATATAATCTAGAAGATGTGCTTAGCCTATTGTATTTCACTCCAATCCCATCCTTACCTTCAAAACATTGTGTTGAAAGTTGTGAGTTGGCCAAAGCAAACAATATGATAAAACAGACACAGAATTCTCCTAATATGTATTTCTTCCTCTCCCTGGATAAATTTTCTTCTCCTCAACAGATTTCAAATATACCTTATTTTCCTCCAAAACAAAACAAAACAAAAAAGCCTCTTGAGAAAATGATGAAGTTATTCACTTTGGAGTGCTCAAAATAAAAATGTATATGCATCTTTGGATTCTATAGCATCTGAAAAGTGTCCAAACTATATGGGAAGCGAGTTGGTATGTTAATCATTACAATAGGCTATTTTTTTCGTTATTCATTTAAAATAGTGATCCATCATGAAGTGTTTGTACTTGAGAAAATATGGTAGACTTTGGAGGCAATGGTCACTTTCGCCTCTAATTTTCCATGATTTGAGCATTCCTTTGAGTGTACAGCTGTTGGTCTGCATATTGGCAATCCCATCAGGCTATTTCCAGAACAAGCTTATTTACATGACATATTTAGACATAGTTTTTGTAGGTAAATTAAAATGATATAAATATCATTCCTACCACATATATAGCATATTATATTTCATCTTCAATATTTTACATTAGCCTCCACATTATCAGGTTTGCTCTAAACATTTTCTGAGAATTAGTTATTTAACTTTTCATATGAAGTCTCAAATGTGTATTAATTATCAATTATATTTTATGATACCTTCTAAGAAATGAGGAAGGAGCAATAATTCTATGCTGTGATATACAATACGCTTTTCAAAATTTTCACTGTGATGAAAATCTGGCATTCTCCAGAAATTTTGTTAAGGTCACTATTCCATAATAGCCTTTTCTCTAATTGTTGAACAGGCATAATATTTTCTAAGTCTAGTACTCATCAGCTTTTAGTGAGTAGTTATCTTCCCCAAGTAGCTTACATTTTTTTTTAATAGTGAAATTTTATTCACTCTGCCATCTCAAGAAACTGTACTAAACCTTAAGACATGGAAAGCTTCCTTTTCTCCCACCACAAAAAAGGTGACTTTTCATATGGCTGGTGCTCATAAAATGCTTTTTGAGTTCTAAAGAGCATTTTATTCCAAAGATGATGTTTCATTCCACGTTAACAGTACACTTTTAAACTTTGGGTTATTTTTTTTCCTGTCAATTTTTTCTCAGAGAATGTAAGAACTGTACAGTCACAAGACATATGGAAATATATTGTAAAATTATTTTGAATTAAAATGTGATGATAACTCTCTGAGTTCACAAAGCTGGAAATAATCTGTCACTTACATGTCAGAAGAGTCTCCAAATTAGTGTTGCCTGTACATCGTACATCCCTTTTTGAAAGCAGCCTTCCCATAGAAGAGTTTTAAAAATGTTTCTTTCTACATCTTGAGTGAATAGTGAAACACATAATGACGTAAGAGATGAGCATCCTAGAGAGAATTATTCCCTAAAGTTTTCCTTCATGTTGCTAATCAGAAACTTCTCAGATGTCGTGATGAATTTAGCTTTTGCTTTGTGTATTTAGTCAAAGCAAAAATTAAGTTAATACAAGTTAACCCTTCTCATATCCAGTAACCAGGTAGGTACAAGGATGAGGTCAAAATCAGAGCTTAGTGTTCAGTAATAACATTTCACATGAGAGAAAACTGAAACTCACAGAAGCTTGCCCAAGTTATATATTTAGTAAGTTCCGTATTAAGATCTGTACTAATGACTGTTTTATTCTGTGTTTTTTTCCTCTTTCTACATACTTTTTTACACTAGCCTAAGACCAGAGACTACTAGAAAGTGATGATGATGAAAAATATTTAAAATGCCTGAGTAGTGGCATCTCAGGTTAAGGATCTTAGAATTAAAGTAAGGCAATGAGGACAGGTTGAAATTCAGGTAACCACGGCATATATTAGTAAGACTATTCAGTAGATAGTTGAAAGTTTTAAAGTATAAATTTCAAGTCGGTTACAAGAACAGAAAACCATGGGGTGGCATGTTCTTGCTCATAAGTGGGTGTTGAACAATGAGAACACATTGATACACGGAGGGGAACATCACACACCAGAGCCTGTCATAGGTGGGGAGCTAGGGGAAGGACAGCAGGGGGTAAGGGGATAGGGGAGGGACAGGATTAGGAGAAATACCTAAAGTAGATGACAGGGTGATGGATGCAGAAAACCACCATGGCACATAAATACCTATGTAGCAAACATGCACATTCTGGACTTGTACCCCAGAACTTAGAGTATAATAATAATAATAAAATAAAACAAATTTCAAGTCAGTACTGCTGAATTTGATTTGGAAATCATTATTTGTGAATGGCAGTTTAAATAATGAGGTTGTGTGAGGTCATCCAAAAAAAAAAAAAAAAAAAACCAACAGATATTGAAGAATTAAGCCAAAACCAAAATATTTCGTTGCAACAACATTTAAAAGAACCCCCAAAGGATCTCAAGATACATGGTCAAAGGCTCATAATAAAATCATGAAAATATAAAACCAAATGAAAAGACTTTCAGCAAGCAGCATGTGAGTTTTATGCATAAGACCACATAAGCACTACAGGCTGAAATTCACACACACACAAATCCTGACTGAGGTGATCAATCACCGGAGAGATGTAAAATAGGAAAATTTCATATCAGGCAAGAACCCAGGAAAGAATTCTTATTTCATCCTCAAACTCTTAGCCAGTACTGTAAATTGTAAGCGTTTATTGAGGGTAGGAATCCCGTCTATGTTGTTCTCCATCATATCTACCCTAATAAGCACTTATAAACCACAATTTGCAGTATGCAATTAATAATCAATAGTAGTAATTTGTGAAATACTATAATGGATTAACGAATCGCCACTAAAGAACTTACTCATGTAACCAAATACTACCTGTACCCCAATAACTTAAGGGAAAATATGAAATAAATAAACAAATAAATGAAATAAAATAATAAAAATGAGAATAGAAATAAAAAATCAATAGTAAATGAATGAATAAAACAAAACTAAACTGAAAAAAAATTGATGACAATATATAATTATATTTTCTGTAAAACTACCTCTGTTATGGTAAATGAAATAAGAATCTTTTCTAATTCTTTCTGAACTGCACTAAGACCACTAATTTAGGAGGGAACAGATAGAAGAGGGGTCTGATCCTCCATCACAACAAATACTTCTTCAGGAATCCCTTTCATAGAAGTGATTTGTCGACGCAATCAATAGCACTGTGAGACATCAAGCCCATTATGGGACATTGAAAATGTTAGGTTGTCTTCATGACAGAATATAGTTTCCATGATGTGTGAATGTAGTATCAATAAGGAGGATGCATTCAACCTTTGCAGGACATTTGCTGTTGTGCTGCACAGCATCTAAATACCTTTCTTAGGTACATCCAACCTACTTCATAACGATGGCTAAAGAGGAGTTGTAAAAACTGCCTCAGTGAGCCCTGATTTTTCATGCCTGACAAGAGCCCGTTTTCCTGCTTGGATAACAGAACCCTGATTTTCCTCTGAAAAACCACAACTTGCCCAAATTCAGTATATGAGGTTTGGGTAGTACTGTCTCTCAAAAATGGAAATGTGGCTCCTGCTTGGTCAATTAGAAAACATTTACACAAAGCTATGATGATCAGATCAGGAATCTAGTAGCAAATGAGATGTAAATTCAGTGCTTTCATTTGAAATA